AGCTTTATGTTTCAGAGTTGTCAAAACAATGTGCTATTGCTACAAGAAATTATCCTGTTGCTAGTTCATATGCATTTTCCAATTTGTGCCTCCATGTCCGTGGACTCCAGGTTTGCGCAAACACAAATTTAATTTGCTGCTGTGCTTTCAAATCTGCCTCATTTGATCAAGTATTTCTCCACAGCTTCAAGGAACATCTCCTTTAAATGCATACAAAATATTTGTATAAAAGGCCGCTTAAAAAACAATCCATATAATGGTACTATGCAAAGGAGCAACAGATTGGAATGTATTTGAGAAAACAGACTGGTGACCAAGGGCTTTACCTATATTATTTTAGGTAACATTAGCACAGGGTGTTCATAGGCCAAAAAATAAATAAAATAAATCAAATTAAAAGTTGGGCATCTATATCTCTAAAAAGCCATTTTCACATTACCCCCAATTTCTTATAACAATATGTGATATCCTATGAATTTATATATAAATCAGCCATTTTGGCTCTGGCTCTAATCTTCTGACTCAAAATATAGGAGTTTATCATTAGTGTGAAGTCTAAGAAGAAATAATGTCATAGTTCAAATTACTGAAAGAAACAACACATCATATGATGGTATTTTGGGGGCAAGGGTGGAGGAGAAAACAATAAATTTCTTTGTGTCATCACAAACTTCATAAGTAACCAAGTTGCCCAAGCTAATCCAGCCAGTGGACCAAATTTTCTGATGAATCATAGAATCTGAAGCATCTTGCACTTATGCTAAGAAAATCACAAACTATACTTAATATGAAAGGCAGCGTGGGCATGGAAAACAGTGTATATATATATAAATAAACAAATCAACCCTTCTGAGTGGCTAATCATCTTTTGCACAGTACTGTATTGAGCACTCTCTCACTCAACAAATGCCAAAAAATTAGGCTAAAAATTCATCAGATTCACTGACATTAAGGGGATGTCTACTCTGGAACTGCAGGTGTACTTTTCATCTTGAGTAGATATATCCCTGCTAGCGCTGATCAAGCTTGCATACTAAAAATAGCAATGTAGTTGTGGTTTCATGGGTGAAGGCATGGGCTGGCCTCCCTGAGGATGTACCCCTAGGATTTCAGATAGGGTTGTACCTGGAGAGGCAGAAATAATATTTTAAGCATTTTAGCTCAATCTCAACTAGCAGGGATAAGTGTACCCAAGCTGGAAATGGTACATATACCCTTAGAAGTTTCAACTTCAAATTAAGGAGGCAAAGGTGGATGATGTTTCTGTGGAAAAACACCCCCACGGCCTTCTAGGTAAAAGCCCTTTAGAATAATCAATTATATTGGGGAAATGAGAAAAAGATTTCTCATGTTCCATTACAACATTATCCATCAAGCATTAGTAGTACAGGATTGTGATGCTTGCATTATAGTTTGTCAGGAAAGCCATGCATCACCAGTGCAAGCAATCTTTCTGCTACATAAAAGTGCGTCTCACATTGGAGCGGGGTTAAGGATTCAAGTCAAAAGTATGCAAATCCTTTCAACTGTAGGTGCTGGTTGTAATCCAATCTCAAGTGAGTAAAAGCTTCAGAGGGGTAGCCGAGTTAGCCTGTAACTGGAAAAGCTTAAAAAAAAAGGAATAATCTAGCAGCACCTTAGGGTATGTCTACACTACCACCCTAGTTCGAACTAGGGTGGTAATGTAGGCATACCGCACTTGCAAATGAAGCCCGGGATTTGAATTTCCCGGGCTTCATTTGCATAAGCCAGCCGGCGCCATTTTTTAATGCCGGCTTGTTCGAACCCCGTGCCGCGCGGCTACACGCGGCACGGGCTAGATAGTTCGGAATGGCTTGCTAGTTCGAACTATCTAGCCCGTGCCGTGTGTAGCCGCACGGCACGAGGTTCGAACAAGCCGGCATTTAAAAATGGCGCCGGCCGGCTTATGCAAATGAAGCCCGGGAAATTCAAATCCTGGGCTTCATTTGCAAGCGCGGTATGCCTACATTACCCCGCTAGTTCGAACTAGCAGGGTAGTGTAGACATACCCTTAAAGACTAACAAAACATGTAGATGCTATCATGAGCTTTCGTTGAAGTTCGATAGTCTAGATGAAATTGATTGGTAGATGAAGTCAAGTTCCTACAGTTCAGTTGTACAAAGCCACACTTGGAAAGGCTGTCTCAGCAGAGACTTTAATGGGCCTGCAACTGAATTTCATTCTCTTTAGTTGAAGTGCTCCCTTCACCTTCGGATGGGAGTACAAGGATTGTTGGGGTGCTTGTGCCATGGAGAAACAGAGCATTTCATTCTGCGTGACTGTGAATACAACATGCCATAGGCACCAGCTTCATTCTTAGAAGTCTTTTAATACACAGTTTGCACTCAACACACTGAATTATCCCAGCTGTTCACTGCACTACTAAGATTTCATTAACTGAACACATTCAGAGTTTGCTCACTATAAAGTGACCCGCAAATTGTCAATACTACAAATAAAAATAATGGTTCCAGAGTCCGTCCTAATTACTAAAATAATATGGAATGTAAAACAGCTGGAGCTGCATTTATTCCCCTTTTAAATTCTTGCATGAATGAAACTACATAGTAACATTGTTCAATGAAGTGGTGAATAAGATGGACCAAATATACTATCCTGTTCAGAGCGATAAAATAAATATGTCACATGCCTCTTAAAAAAGATATTTTTCACAAAAGTCGGCTATTTGAAATTATATAATATTATTGACTAGCTTTTACATAATAACATGAAAAGTTGAAGCAGGGCCTGGCAAAAGCCTTTCATATGTTGCTATATGAAAGTTTATACATTGCATATGGATGTGTCTAAAGCTCATTGTTTATTAAAAATATAACACCAACAACCCTTTCAAACTTTAGTTTGTTTTAGGTACACAATTCCCACAATAACTGAAAAACTAAAATGTAGACAGATTTTTGCTGAATTCATCCTTTCCTTGTTTTCAGAATGTAAGGAACCAGTATACAAGGAACCATCCAAGTATAATAAAATCCCTTCATTCTCAGTATACATCTAACTAATCTGATTTGGAAATTTGATTTAAATCATTTTACATCAGCAAATGCAAATTTAAAATGGAAATTGTGCTTAACGGGCAGATGTATGTATTATACATGATTCAAATTTGATGAATGCTGCTAATAAAAAATATGAAGTACCATAAAAATAAGTCAAAAATAGGCATTGGAGAAGTAGGTGTTTAAAGGTCAAAGATTAATTACTAAGAAAGCAGGTCAGTAAGCTTTAAGAACCCAAGAGGGTGTAGCAAGAGAAACTGCTTACTCTTGTGCTTTGGGATAGAACACACATGAGTAACAGGCATAGCTAGAGAAGTCTATAAATTTTAAGATAATAAAAGACAGAATAATTACCTTTAATTAAGGAACCGAGTATTCTATTTAATGAGGGTTTATACAATTAAAAAGCTCAGGCCTTAACTAAATTAATATTGTTTCCTATTAAATGTCTTGACCAAATGTAACAAAAATATAAAAAAAACCCATAAGTCTTAACACTTTTTATTTCTCTTCCCACCAAAAATTGTGTGCATCATCCTCAAATATTTACTCTGTTTTTGAATCCCTTTCAAGTGATTATGTTAATTACAGAAGCAAAAGTGTAAAATTGTGTAGGAAAAATATAAATCATGTTAGCTAAGATATTTGGCTTTAGCACATTATAAAAGATTGATATGGATTAGTGGCTATATAGTTATAATAAAACAAAGAATCATGGTAAAGGGTTAAAGAATAAACAGGCAGTAATCTGTGATGCCTCTTGCTGTTGAAATACATGAATAGATATTGCTTGTGATAACTAAATTGACGTACTGTACTACAGTATGCTGTAAAAAGAGACAGTCAAAATCATAAGGCTCAGTGATTGGAGAAGCTGTGGAAATGATAACACAGGTCAAAGAACTGAAATAAGTAGCATACAAGTCTGCTTATGGTGCCTTTTGTCCAGCTAACAGAAGTTATTACAATATATTACAGGGTAGACAGAAATTAGAACGAACTGTAAAAAGGGATTTACAGCATGACCTGGCAAGCAGTTTAAGAGAAAGGTAGTGATTTACTGATAATATTTCTAAGCAGTATAGCCTGCATGCAGCCCGTTTTGAACGGGTGTCCCAGATTAGCAACAAGCCCATGCCTATTTATATTTTATGTTTATAGAAAATACATTTAAAATAAAAAATGATTGTAAAATGAAATTAAAATATTGCCTTAGAAGATGTACATTCTTTGAGGAAGAACTGAGAAATGCTTTTAAATTATGCATACTCGTTCACTGATTTCTTTTTGGAAAAAAAATGTGTTTGAATTCAGAGCTAGATTATTTAAAAGGTTAATACATTCATTAATTGACAGTGAATGTGTCACAGAAAAGCTCTATTTTAGTTCCTTAGGTGAACAGATTTTGCTGCAAAAATTCAGAACAATGCTGAATGTAAAAGGACAAGAACAAGTGCATATTAAGATATTTCTGCATTTATACCTGTCAATCATCACATACCTCAAAGGCTATGAAATATTGTTACAACTACTATATACACACAGGTCAAGTAGCATTATTTTGAAGTTTTAAATCACACTTAAATTAGTTCATTCTTGATAAAGAAAGCAAATTCTGTACATCCACAAGTGATGCAGCATTCATTTTAGAACTGAACCTCACAGTGAATCACAGAGATACAATTGTAACATTTTCTTACAGCAATGAAAAGAAAGCAGTGTACTACCCACCACACCACACCCCCCAACCCTGAAAATAAAATTGCAGCTTATCGTTAATGAACCAGTTTGTTTAAACTCCCATTAGTAATGCAACCACACGTGCACACTAGCTGTGCTAGGCTTACGGTATAGGCACCTTTACATATTACAAAATATGCTATTACTGTAGGCTAAAATCTATAGTCCTAAAGTCAATTTATTAATAAAAGATTGACATGGAGAGAGACACTACCTACCCACAAATACATCATCATCTTGAAAGAGAAATCAAGGGCTCTGTCAGCAAAGAGAAGTCTCCTTACTTCACCAAGTATGTCTGGAATGAAAACTGAAACCAGTGGGTAGAAAATCTTGCCTTTTTCTGTCAAGTCCTCACAGTTCTCTTCTTTTCTTAAACAAGATATTTTTTGTTTGTTTATGAGAATAGCATTCGTTCAGTGGCTCTTTCTGCGTGTGAAGTGACTTGCTTCAGGCAGTCTTTTTTTCTTTCCTTTTTCTCCCTAACTCTGCCTGTCCTTTCTTTACTGTCAGGCTTGCTTAGGTAACAATTCTTGGTGTGTCTGTTTAAATGAGCAGGTCCGTGCACTAACGGCAGCCACCTACAGTGGTAAAAGTGGAAAAAGAAAGAAAGAAAGAAATGGGGATACACCACTTCCTGATAGCTGTTATGGGATTTACAGAAGCCCCCTCAATAGGAATTTATAGGAAGATTTCTAAGACGTCTTGATGGAAAAAAAAATCATCAATGTAAAGCAGGTGACTCCAGTGGCACTTAAGCCATTACATTTCCTTGCTAAAGGACCCAGTTCAGAAATCCTGCACTTGAGATTTTTTTTTAACTCAAAGCAGAGCTCCTATGGAAAAGAAAGGAGCATGTACTGCACCCTGCTTCCCCTTTATCTCTTTAAATGTACTTCAGATAAAAGCAGCATCCAGTCAGGTCAAGGCCTTCCCCAATCTTATTACTCTAACACAAGAGTGTTCAACATACTTTTCTACAGCCATCTACTGACTTCACAGTGTTATTGCTGCTGCTGTTGGTTCTGTTGGGAGATAGTTGCCAATACAGGGAAATATGACAAGTAAATCAGAATAGAGTTGCACTGTTTGTGCAAATTCAGTCTATTTTTGTTTTGTTTCTCTTTGTGGTAAAACCACGTCTATTTAAAATGCACAGTTATATCAGAGTTATATGTATTATACCAGGTTTGTTGGTTTTCTGATTTTTAAAATTTTGATAGATACTATGTAAAATGAATGGTTTTGAAAGGGCTTTCGTGTCTTAGACTTCTATAATTTCATGAAGTGGAATATTTTTCGTTCATTTTGCTTGGCTATATCTAATGCAAAGTTCATTTACTGAATCAATCAAAAGAATTCTTGTCTGTAAGATAATTTTTTCCACTGTAAAAGAGACAAGTCTTGGTGACTTTCTAGACAGTATTATTTATCATGAAAATCATCCCTGACCCTGTGAACTGGCACCATTACACACTCTCTTACTTACTATGTTTTGTATATTGATGTAGATGTAGAAAGATATAAATGAATTTTTCCCATGGAATACATCAAGGGATACACTTTTTACTGACTGACTCTAGCTCAGTGAATAAACAGAGGTGGAGGGGAGGAAAAACAAAGGTGTGAACATGTGAACCAACAGACCTTTCCTCTTTTTTTTTTTTTGTCTTTGGTTTAGTTATCTTTGACCACAGAGTGTACACTTAGTCTACAAACCAGCTAAGGCAGGACTTTTGCAGGACTTTTGCAGACCTTAGGCGATTTTCATACTCCGTCTAACCATACAAGGTAAAATGTCACCTAAATAATTAAAATGCATTAGCTAAATTGCAGAATCATTCACTGTACCAGGGCAGGTGGCAAATGGATAGGCACCTGCTGAAACAGTCTATAACAAGGCTCATCAAGAGACATAATAGCAAAGCAGGATTGGGAGAGCAAACTAAAATCCATACCGTTAAACAAACAGTAATCAGGAGAGTCTTAAAGGCTTCTATCTAACAGCAGTAAAAAAAAACCTGCTGGTACCCCTAGCACATTAAAATTGACTTCATTTTGGAAAATACAAAATAACTTATTTTCACAATAATTTGTTAATACTTGTGTGTGTGTTTGTGTGTGTGTGTGTGTGTGTGTGTGTGTGTATGTGTATATATATATATATATACACACATACACACACATACAAATGGATGATTTGCCACAAATTATGTAAGGGAAGAAGGCTTTCATTATTTTTACTGAGTACAGAATAAAAACATATGATCATTTATTAGTTAGTAAAATAGCCAGTTTTACAGCAAAGTGGCAAGAAAGTATGGACATACTCTCAGATAACTTTGGTCTAATTTTGGCTAAGTGCAGCTCAGATAGGGTCTTGTGGCCAAAATTATCTCTCCTAAACTTTAACATTCATCCCAATATGCCAATATTGTTTGATTTACACCAGCGCTGCCTCTCTTTCTGTGCTCTAACACTTTTGAGGTAAATTTCAGTTCCTTCTGCTTTTATGGAAATGATAGATTATTTTTTAGGAGTCTTGAATTGTGATTTTCAAAAACGTAGGTCCAACAAAATTGACACTAACAAGAAATGAAGGCTCAAACATGATTTATACACGAATGTGGTCCTGGTCCTTGATGCACAAAAGAAGAATATTGTGTAAAGCACAAACATTTGATTTTAAACTCTCCTTCAGCAAGTTTTATCTTACCCTTCCATATATACGCCAAACCAAGGTATTTAGAACGGGATGTGGATAGAGGAAGGAATCGTCATTCCAAAGGGCAGGATGCTGCTCCCATTCAAGTCAGCAGCAAAACTCAAACACATAAGGCATCCTGTGTCACCTTAAAGACCCACTTCAGCTTATGCCCAAATAACTTTGTCAGAAGTGGGTCTATGCCCACAAAAGCTTGTGCCCAAATAAATCTGTAAGTCTTAAAGTACCATAGGACTCCCCATTGTTTTTGCAGAAACAGAGTGACATGGCTACCCTTCTGAAAACTCAAAAGATTCCTGTTCAATAGAAATAGAACTGAGTTCCTTTTTGTGGAGGAAAATTATCAAAATCAGTATCTGATCCAATTGACAGCCTTCAACAGCCTAACAGATGAAACTTGTTCACCTTTAGGCCTTATTCGTCTCCTCATTTTTCTGCTACATAGGGATTGGCATTTTGTATTAATTTACATTACCATGAACTATATTCAATTGGTTAAGCTGAAAATGCATTTCTGATAATCTATTGTTGCATCTAACACCTTCTGATCTGTGCACCTTGAGAGTGTATGTAAGGTTTCAGAAATTTCAAAGTGTGGTTAAAGATTTTATTAATATGAGAAATGTGTACATAGCTATTGTCAATGAATCATTTTACATCAAAATTTCCCTTTTTTTTTAGCAGAGAGACTACATAGACAGCATATAAAGCTGTAGTGAACTGTGCCCCAAGGCTGTGTCAACTAATTATTTCTGTATTTGAAATTCTGTTCATTATTAAATTGATTGAGTAATCAATTCTTCACATCTTATTCCCTGAAACAAGTGAAATGACATTTTCTACTGCTGCTACCCATAACCACCCATTTGAAATACTTTCTTATTCTTTTTCTTAAGTACATTAATGGCTTGATTATCCTAGATTTTGCTTAAGTAGGGAAGGGTATGTCTACACAGCAAAGTTGTTTCAAAATAACAGCAGTTATTTCAAAATAACTTTCCTAGCATCTACACAGCTATTCCGTTATTTCTAAATTAGTTTGAAATAGCTGAGGGCTTATTTCGAAATTGGTAAACCTGATTCCATGAGGAATAGTGTCAATTTTGAAACTGCTATTTCAAAATAAGTGCTGTGTAGATGCTTATTTCAAAATTGGGGACCTCCAGCCCTTCCCAGGGTGCCCTGCTGGCCTCCCTGGACACAAGGCAACTTCAGAGCTGATGCCCTGCCAGCTTAGAGAGAGATTTTGCCTGACACGTGCACATAGGCACGAGAAATAAGAGACATACTCTTTGGGTATGTCTACACTACAGCGTTATTTCGAAATAAGCTATTTCAAATTAACAATTTTGAAATAGCTTATTTCGAAATAACGCTGTAGTGTAGACATACCCAAAGAGTATGTCTCTTATTTCTCGTGCCTATGTGCACGTGTCAGGCAAAATCTCTCTCTAAGCACAGTATTGGCAGTCTCTCATAGGGTGTGTCTAGACCACAGAGTTTTGTCGACAAAAGTGGACTTTTGTCGACAAAACTATACCTGCGTCCACACTACCGCTGAGTTCTGTTGACATAATGTCGACAGAACTCAGCATTTTTGTCGATGCTAGTAAACCTCATTTCACGAGGCATAACGCCTTCTGTCGACAGAGTTCTGTCCACAGAAAGCATTATTGCATGTAAACTGTCCTTGCATCTACACTGCCATGTCGACAAAGCAGCTTGCTTTGTCGACAAAACTGAATGTAGTATAGACGCTCTTTGTCGACAGAAGCTTTGTCGACAGTATCTGTCGACAAAACTTCTGTCGACAAAAGCCTGTAGTCTAGACGTACCCATACTGCCAGTGGTTCTAGAAAATGAACAGGAGGATGATGGTCACAATCCAGCTTCTGCTGCACTGCACAACAGAACTGACCTGAGGCCAGCCCAAAGCTCATTCAAGTCAATGTAAGTCTTCCCCTTTGTTACAATGGGTCTGTGAAGAAACTGAGAACTATTTGTATTGTTTAATAAATATAATAAGCCCTTTTGGCATCGGGATGATATTACCCCGCCTGGATGTATAGAATTAGATCAAAAGAAGTTGTTAAAAGAAACCAGTCAGGAAAAGATAAAATAATACTCTAGACCAGGATCATTTTCTCAAGCATAATAGCGAGGTTTATAGCTATAAAAAGGGACTCCTTAGCCTGAGCTCTGACTGTGAGGTTGTTTAGCCTAGAATGAGGAGAGAGATCAAAAGACACTGATCTATTAAAAGGTCCCCTGAGAAAGAGGGAGAGGGAAAGTGGTCAGTTCACCAGCTTGTTTGCTAAAAGTAGCAGGGTAGCCATGGCAGCACCTCAGTACAATCTTGCCTGGGACCCCACATACTTTGTTGGCTAGCCAATGCCACTGCAATAAGGTGGTCATATGCCTGGGTTTTAGACAAAATGGCTGGTTGAAAAGGAAACATGGTGGCTTTGATCAGCAATGTCAAGCAGGCCATTAAAAGTCCAGTCCGCGGTGTCCCAACCTTCTGCTCCAGCCCCACAAAACTCAGAGCCTTCCCTGTACCCCAAACTCTTCATTCCCCATCCCTATCTTAGAGCCTTTATCCCAGAGCCCTTATCCTGCTCCTCAGCCACCTGCCCCAGCCCCCTCTCACAGCCTAAACCCCTCATACTCAACTCCACACTAGAGTGATGATCCCTCTAATCTTTTCCATCCATGTGTGGATTTATTTTTCCATACATGTGTGGATTCATTTTTTACATGCATCAAGGCATATGTGAATTGGGGGCTCTGCTGATCAGCTGGGCAGCATTTGAATCTCTCCTGAGGAGCTGCGCAAGCACACAGCTTACAGGGAACACTGCCCCAGAGCCCTCACCCTCTCTTGCACCCTGATTACTTGCCTCAACCTACAGCCCCTACCTGCACTCCAAACCCTTCATTACATGTTCTATTCCAGAATCCAGCCCCTGAAAAAAATGCGGAAGAATGGCTCTTGCGGAAGAGGGGGGTTTTGTGCAAAAGCCTCTTGTGCAAAAAGCAGCTGATCATTAATTATGCAAATGAGGCTCGGCGATAGTCCATGCTTAGACTCATTTGCATATTTCTGGCGCAAAACCAGCGCAGTGTAGACATAGCCT